ACAGAGGACACAACATCTGTATGGAGACCAAGGACACAACATCTGTAAGGAGACCGAGGACACAACATCTGTAAGAAGACGGAGGACACAACATCTGTATGGAGACAGGAGACAACATCTACTCTGATGCAGTCATCTGTCCCCTCAGGACCGGTCTCAGGAGACATGTCAGAACTCTGACTGATGGACGAGGTGAGGACACCCATGAATCCATCTGCGAGCTGGCTGAAGGTTCCTGTCAGAACCTGCAGGCTGGGACAGATCCTGAGGACAAACATCTGGCCTCTGCAGCAGCAGAAATACGGTTTGTTTATTTCCAGCTGTGTCTGCTCCTCCTGGCTCGAGCTGCACAAACTGAAATGGAACATAAATGTCTTCAGAGAAGACGTCACCGTCCAGACGAGCACACGGAGCTTTGTCCTCTCTCATGTGCCGTTTATCACCTGAGAGGACGTCGTGACCCGGTTCTATCCATGTTTTTCATTCTTTCCACTGTAAGGACGGAGCGAGGGGAGGAGGGGTAGGTGGAGCCAAACCCTGCGGGGTGAGGAGTTCACACTCACCCGGAGTCAATGGCTGACGCTCCCCAGCAAGCCAGGAGACGACTGCTTTACAAAATAAAAGCCCTGAGGACGTCAGAGTAAAGTCTGATGTGATGAGAACAAGTGGAGCAGCTCGGACACCTCTGGGTCAGAACCAGAACCTTGTCGCCTCCCTTCAGCTCCTCTGACACAAACAGTGACCCAAGAGGAACGCATATCGCCCATTTCAGAGTGATGGGACAACTCTCAGCTACTACCACTCTGGCTCATACCCAGGTTCTGCTTCCTGCAGTAGCTGTGGTGGCCATCTTGACCTGGGTTAACTCCAAAAGTTAATCCACTGTAGACGCACACCCAGCGATTACTTTGGTTAAAATGTGTCCACTGGTTCAGGAGATATTTTGCTAACAGACAGAGTGAAAAACATTATTGTCTGTTTGGGATGCTTCAGGAATGACCGTGAACAAACTGTTCCTTCAGACACGAGGCAGTTGGTGGTTTGACCCCAGGGCAGCAGGAGGGTTGATAAAACTCCAAACAGAACCAGAACTCAACTCCTGAATGGGTCCAGATGACAAGAATTCGTACATTTTTACTGTAATTTATTTTCTGTATGTTGGAGTGAAACTGATTTCACTCGCCGCCATGAAGGGCGGCGATCGTGTAAAACCCTGAGGGGGTGTTTGTTCAGTCTGGACCCATCCAGATGGAGAAGATCCAAAGTCCTCAGTCTGTCCGAGGCTACGTTCAGATAAATACCTTCTGATGTGGTCTGCTGGCCCTTCACAGGTAAGCTGTCCCCCTTGGTGTACTGAGCAGAAACCTGGACTTCGTAGCGGGTCAGAGGGGTGAGGTGGGGGAGGAGGGCAGTCAGTGTGTCCCCAGGAACGGACATGGACACATAATGTCCGTCGGTGTCGTCTTCGGGCTTGAACTTGACCACGTAGGACTCAACATTGTTGGAGTCTATCTGCCACGAGGCCCGGAAGCTTCTGGGCCCAACCTCAGAGAAGGATAGGGACTTGGGCTGAATCAGTTCTGCAGGAGGGAGAGACAAAAAACAGTTTTTGACTTGATCCACTAACAGATGTTCAGATTTAAAACACATCAGCTGATAACATGTTGATTTTGTCAATCATCTCGTCTTTCTGTATGAAGCCTCTAAAACTCCTGGATGGACCAAAGTTTTGCTCAGATCAATAAAACAAATCTATCAAATAACACAAAGAATGAAGAAGAGCTTGAAGTAAAGGTTTAACAGCAGCTCCGGAGGACCCCGGTCTGATCAGGTCAGACCGGGATGGGCAGGTAGGTAAGCAGCTCAGAAAGATAAGGATGGTCACGCCCACTTAAACATTTCAAAACAAATAAAAGAATTTTAAAATGGTTTGGCAGCCAGTGAAGACATTTTGAAACTTGAACTTTCAAAGAGCTGCTGGACGAACGGGCCACATCAAGGCCAAAGGGACGTATCAAGGCCGAAGGGACGTATCAAGGCCGAAGGGCCGTATCAAGGCCGAAGGGCCGTATCAAAGCCAAAAGGACGTATCAAG